CCCCGCCGCAGGCACAATGCTGCCCAGCTCCATCCAGATCTCCGGGGAGCCGCTGTCAGGCGCCGAGGTGCGGGACATCTGCCGCGGCCTGCGCGACAACGCCGTGCGCCTGCTCTCCCTGCGCGGCTGCCGCCTCTGCGACCGCGACTTCGGCCGCATCTGCCGGGCCCTGGCGGGAGCCACGTCCCTGGCGCAGCTCAACCTTAACCTGGGCGTCGTGTCCAGCCCCAGCCGCATCAAGCAGCTGGCGGAGGCGCTGCGGACCAACCGCTCCATCCAGTCCCTCTTGTGAGTGCGCCCCCTCGCAAGGGGGCCCCCGGGCACTGCGCCCCACCACCGCCACCTTCCGTTCCTCCACGCCTGCCTTCTCTCCCCTTCTACACACACCTCATCCCACCCTCATGCCGTGCCGCCACCACATCCGGACTGGCCGCACACGTTGGCCCCACCTGAAATCACATGGGACACCCACCCACTCCAGGCAGTGAGCAGGGTGGCTCCCCGCCTAGCCATTGCACATCATGGGGCCCAGAATGAAATAGGCCCATCAGAAGACACCCCACCCCCCACCCCTGAGTCGACCATCCACACACCCTTCGGAGCCCCTCCCGATTGATTTCTGGATCCCAGGCCCTGCCAGGGAGGAGAAGCGAATTCTGCTTCTACCTGTGTTCATCCCCACAGTGTACAGTTCTTTCCCAAAGCTCTGACTGAGTACTCTCCCTACCCTTGGGGCTCACAGAATGGGGGGTGGGGGATTCCTAAGAGGTACCCCTCCCCCTATTGATAGAGGTGAAGACTGTGATGACCTTTGCCCTCTCACCTCATCCTCCCCCCAGCCTGCATGGGAGCCCCCTGACAGATGCTGGGCTGGCCTTGCTGAACCCAGCGCTGGCCCTCCACCCTGCCCTGGTGGCTCTGGACCTGGGGGACTGCATGCTGGGGGACGAAGCCATCAACCTCATCTGCGGCCTCCTTCCCCCGGACGGGGCCAAGTCTGGTGAGCAGGTCCCTGCTAAGCGCATGGCTTGTGTGCCTTGAAGAGCGACGTGCAGAGGGAAGGGCTCTGGCAGTGTAGACGACAAGGTTTTCAGACCCTCTAGGAAGGGGAAGGACTGGGGGCAAAGCCGAGGGGAGCCTCTGGAACCCAGGCTGGCAGGGGACGAGGGAGTCTGGGGTTCTCCATGGTGCCCGAACGCTGTGGTTCGAGTTGGACAGCCCAGAGACATGGGTGGGAAGGGACCTGAGGAGGGCCTGACCCTCCCCACCCTGGCTTCTTGCGGTCCAGGCTTGAAGGAGCTGACACTGAGTGCCAACCCTGGCATCACCCCGAAAGGCTGGAGCCGCCTCGCCATTGCTGTGGCCCACAGCTCCCAGGTTCGCGTCCTCAACCTGGACTACAACCCCCTGGGTGAGGCTCAACACTCCCCCAAACCACCTCAACTTCCGTCCGAGAACCTGGGCCCACTGGTCGTCATGGTAACCTCCCCTGCAGAGGGAGGGAGGGTGGGCGGGCGAGCTGGAAGGAGAGAGGAGTCTGTGAAAATCCAAATGGCAAACAGCTAGATGGACGATTCAGTCACCAAGCTCCCTTCCTGTCAGCTCTTCTGGGCCTAGGAATGGAGGCCTAGGGGTGGGGTCTGAGATCCAGGCCAGGGCAGTGAGGTAGGGATAGCAGGCTAGCAAGAGCACAGGTGAGTGTGTGCTTTCTCCCCAGGTGACCACGTGGCCGGGATGCTGGCTGTAGCCGTGGCCTCTAGCCGCACCCTGGAGGTCCTGGACTTGGAGGGGACTGGGCTCACCAACCAGTCAGCCCAGGTGAGAAGGCACTGTGACTAGGAACAGGCTAGGAGGCAGGGTGGGTCTGTGGACATAGTTAAGGGTTGGGGTCTGAGGATCTGCCCTAACTGTCCCCACCCCTGCCAATGCTCTTGCCTCCCCCCAGACCCTGCTGGACATGGTGGAGAACTACCCCACAGCTTTGCGGAGCTTGGTGCTGGCCGAGAACAGCATTAGCCCAGAGCTGCAGCGGCAGATCTGTGACCTGCTCTCAGAGGGGGAGGAAGAGGAAGAGGTGGCAGCGGGGGCTGGCGACGACACCCGGGAACGGGAGAGAAGGAGGGGCAGCAGCTCCTGGATGTGCCCCAGTGGTAAGAGCCCAGAGGGTCGGTCCATCAGGGCTGGATGAGGCTTGGGAGGGGGGACCTAGGCCACCTATGGGCAGCCGCCAACGGGGGAACAAGTGACAGCCCGAGCACCACTCTGCTTTCCAGATCCCGGCTCTCAGATGGTGCTGATGACGTCGGGACTGGGGGACAATCTGTTGGCTGAGACTGAGATGTGACCCTCCACTTGGCCCTCATGACATTTGTCTGTGTCCCCAGCGCCTCAGCCCTGGGGCATGGGCCCGCAGGGGCTGATGGGTGCCTCAGGCTCTGGCAGGTCTGGCCTTGGGGTGGGAGGCTCTGGAAGCCGTGACTGGACCACAGCCTTAGCGGCTACCTGAACCCAAGGGAGGCCTCTGGACTTGTTAGCGGCTCCGGCTGCAGCCCGCTGGATCGGAAGAGATTTTATGAATCCACCACCTGGTGTGGCTGTGGTCACTGGGGCCTGGCAGGAGGGAGGATCTGGAGTCACCACAGAGCACCACTAGGGGGCAGTGCCACCCAGCCCCCAGACAGTGCGCTCTGGCATCCCCTCCTAACCCCAGGTTCTGGGGTGACTCAGACAGGATGGAGGTCACAGCTCCAGGGCTGTGAATCCGGGGTGATGCTGTGCCCAGGTGAGCCCCAGACCAGTGAGTCGCTAGCAACAACTAGGAGGGTGGGTGAAGGCCACTCAGACCAAGCAGGAGATACCAGTAAAATAGTTTATTTGATTTTAAAATAGTCTGCAACATGAAATCTCCCCCAAATGGGGAGTAACAGTCTAGAGCCACAGTTGGGGGGAGGCTGGGCCTCACACAGCTTGAGGCCCCTGAACCTTGCCCTCCATTCCCTTCCTGAGGGAGGAGGGCACTGCGAGGCCCACCCTGAGTGGGCCTCCCCTCCCTGGAAGGCCACAGCTCCTGCAGCCTCTGTGGGCTGAGGGTAGCAGACCGCTTACAGAATGCGAGGTGAACGACCCCAACCACGCCCCAGCACCCTCACATCCTCCAGAACAGGAAACAAGCCCTGTGGTCCCACCCTGTTCCCATGTCCTCGGCCCCTGCACCTTTGGAGAATATAGCCGAGAAGAGCAGGGAGGGCCCTGCTCCCAGGCAGCCAAAGAAAGGCCCAGCTGGCACCCTAAACCACCCTGTGGCCCCAGCAGGCAGGAGGGCTAATCCAGCAGGTTGCCCTGCTCCTGGGCCTGGGTCAGGCTGTCCTTTCGGTGCAGGTGGTGAACCCCCATCCTCTTTGGGCTGCGCTGGGGGCGGCTGGCGTTGCCCAGTGGCCAGGTCCTGCCTTCGCTGTGGGCAGTGCCAGGCCCCTCCTCCGTGCCGCCGTCCTGGGGAAGGAGGCGCTGGCGCTCCTCCTCGGGGCTGGCAGGCAGGCTGAGCTGCTCCTCCTCCTCCCCAGGAGAGCCGGACGTGGGTGCCATGGGGAGTAGAAGCCTGCTCTCACCAGGTGAGGGAGACGGTGTTGGGGCCTCCTCATCTCCATCAGGGGGGCTCAGGGCAAAATGGCGCTGAAGCTCCGGGAGCACGTCCTGACCGAAAGCAGTGCGCTGGGCCACGGCGGCAGGCGGTGGGGTGCGGTCCACAAATGCCCGCTGCCAGCTGGCCAGCAGGTCATCCTCAGAGTTGGCAGAGCTGGCAGAGGGGCTGCATCCTGGGGGCGCGGGGCTGGCCTGGTGGTGGGGGGAGGCCTGGGTGGAGGCGGGGCTGCTAGGGCCAGCGCTGAGGCGGGCCCGCTCAATGCCCTCCTCCACCAGGCTCAGGGAGATGGCCTGGCGGGTGGCATAGGTGCAGTTGGGCAGGGGGCTGTTCCGGGGAACCCGCACCTTTTCCTCTGAGAACTCTATGACCTTGCGGCCAGGATACAGCGGGTGCGGTGGGGACGGTGTGGGGTAGGGGCTCAACTTGTCAAAGGTTGGCAGGGGCGGCTCTTCCTCTAGGGAGGCCCCAGCAGTGCCCAGAGAGTGGCATTCTCCGTTGGGCTGTGGGGCAGGGCTGCCAGGGGCCAGGGGACTGGCCGGGTCACTCGAGGCATCCCCGCTCATGTCCACGTGCACGAAGACATCCTCAGCCAAGGGGTGCCCAGCACTGCCCGACTGGGCCGAGTTGAGCAGCAGAGACTCTGGCTTCTCCAACACACGGGCAATGATGGAGGTGGGCACCACGGCCCCTGCGACCAGGCCGGTGGCAGGGCTCGGGCTCGCGGCCTCTTGTCCACTGTGCAGGTGCTTCCGAACCATATCCTGCAGCTCACAGGGCAGCTGGGTACAGGGCAGTAGGGAAGAGCCAGCTCAGAGCAACAATCGTAGCCTTCACACCAATCAGCCACTGCCAGCTCAGGCTGGGCACTATGCTGTCTCCCCTGGGAACAGCACATTGCTGTGTGCCCCGACCTCACGAATGGGGGCTCGGCACAGGTCCAATCCCTGGAAGCTCTTGATGTGCTCGCTCAGCCAGGATGTGAGGCCCCTGTACACTCAAATCTCTCACCTCAGTGGGGGCTTCTGCCCAAACCAGACCTCAGTTTGCAATCGCCTGCCCCTCCCCTCTGCATGTACACCCCTGAACCTTGGGCCCCAGCCTCTGGTGTCTGGAGCTTGTCCCTTTGGTAAGGGGCCGGGTGGGTTATAGCCAACAGCTCTAGCGACCCCCTCCTTCCTGGCGGGGGTCCTGAAGTTGAGTCTGTCCCTCCCCGCCTGCCTGCCTTCGTTCTAAACACCAACAAGCGGTGGCTCAGCCCCCAGGAAGGGCCCCCGACTGCACAAGACACCAATGGAGAGACTTTGGAGGTGAGGGGAGGTAGAAGGAAAGGGGTTTCACGGCAGGGGAGACCAGGGGAAGGGGGCAGAAGCCAACACTGGTTGGAGGAAGCCTCATAAGCTGGGCGTCCCGGGGTTCACCTCTGCAAGCTTGTGGTTCCGGAAGTGGGACTTGTTGCACTTGAGCAGCTGCACGGCCAGGTTGCAGTCGAGCCTGTAGCGCTCCTGCAGAGAGAGCAGGCGGGTGGGCGGGCTCAGAGGCTGGCCCTGCGCGGGGCAGGGAGGCAGGCGTGCCAGGGAGGGCGCAGGGCACGGGATGCGGGGCACAGGCACGTACATTGAGCTCCTCCAGCTTGTTGATGGTGTTCTTGGCGTCTAGCAGCTTGTTGGTCAGCTCCACAATCTCCCAGTCCAGTGTCTTCTTATCCATCTCCGCCTTCTTGATCTAAGGCACAACGTTGGTGGGAAAGGCGGCTCCCACCCCCCTGCTCCCGCCCCATCCCACCTTCTCCCAGGCCCGAGACACAGGAAGCCACAGGTGCTGGGCCAGCCAAGGCAGACAGAGCAGACAGATGACGGAAGGACAGACACAGGAGACCAGGACTCCTTTCCTGCTCTCTTAGCTGACTGGGTGGCTCCCTGAGAAGGACCCACTGCAGCCAGGGTCAGCGGCAGGGCTGTCCACCACAGGGATGCTACAGGGACTCTGGCTGGAACCTCAGAGGCATTTAACTGCAAACCCTGGGCCCGCCATGGTCATGGGCAGCTGCCTCCAGGAGCAGCTGAAGTGAGGAAGAAGATGGCTGGGAGGCAGTTGGGGCCCTCATGAGCTGATCTAGCTGAGAAGGGAAGGGGCTACAGACTCAAAAGGTCGTTTTGTGATCTGATGGGACTGCATCCTCTCCCACCCGCACCCACACCCCCAACTTCCACCCCTTGCCCCAAAAGCCTGGCTTGGGCCTGCTGCCACTACAGCCTAGGGCCGAGTGTGCACTGGGGACAGCAGGACCCCAGCACAGCCTTGCAGCGGTCCCCCGGGGAGAGGCTGGGGCTCCAGCTTCCAGAGCAAGGGTGTGGGAGCCGCCCTTGAGGGGCAGGAGGAAGGAGCCAGGGCCCAGCCATCCCAGGGCAAGGAGGAAATGCAAAGTCAGACGCAACTGCAAAGATCCAGCTGTGGCTAAGGGAGGCCTGAGAGGAGGGCGGCAGCACCGTGGCAGCATGGGGGAGACGAGGAGAGAAAAGAACAGAACAGTGTGAGCCTTCAGACAGTCCCAACGCGCACAGCACACTGCAGCCCCCGCCCCACCCCAGCCCCCATCTCTCCGTCCAGGCTCGGGGTGCACTGGCATTGCCTGGCTAGCCACACTGTCTTGGGGGGCAGGTTACCAGCGTGTGCAGCTTGTCCTCCAGCTCCTGGTTGGTCCGCTGGGAGGCCGTGTAGCTGTTCTGCAGCCTGGAGAGGGAGCAGGGCAGAGGGCTGGGCAAGAGCGGGCGCCTTTAGCCCCGCCCAGCCCTCCTCACTACAGGGTCTTTCTTAGCAAGTCATCCCTCTCAGGGGTGTCAGGGGCTCCCTGGGCCCTTCGGGGAGCTAGCCTTCTGTGAATGGGGGTATGAGGTGTGTGCTGGCCCCTCACTCGCACACCTGCGGAACTTGTCCTTAAACTTATCCAGCTCCTCTCGGCTCTGGCCCAGCTCCAGCTCCAGGCAGTCCTGCCCGATCTCCAGCTCGCGCTCCAGGGCCTCGGTGCGCCTGGTGGCCGCGGACAGGCGCCGGCGCAGCTCCTCATTCTCCTGCTCCAGGAGCCTGGGGGCACCGGGACATAAGGGTCAGCCCCAGCCTCTGGCCAGGCTCAGGAAGGAAGGAGAAAGGGGGACAGGAGGAGAAGCAAAGAAGGGAAGGACTCCCCAAAATCTGGCTTGAGTTTGAGGCAACACAGTTCACAGGTATGGGGGCCTGAGAACACAGCCTGGGCTGGGAGGTGTGGGGAGACTGAGAGGCTGGGAGGGGTCGGACCGACACCCCCTCCCGCACTGGATAGCAATGAGACGGAAATAAGGGGGCCAACTCCAATATCAGCCTCTAGTTACAGCCCGAGCCAGCTGGCCACCAAAGCCCCCCAGCTCCAGTTTCCCTGCTGCACAATCAGGCTTCTCCATTATTAATCTCTCGGAAATCCAGCCCAGCACTGCCCTGCTTTGCAGGGGCCTCACGTGACTGGCAGGGAGGCAGCTGCCCTGTTTGCTCCAGGCCAGGAGCTGGGCCCATCAAAGGGAGTCACTTCCAGGCTTTCTCTGGGAGCCCACAGAACCAAGTCCCGTTCCAGAAGGGACCACCACAACTTCACATCTCTCCCTAGAGCCCACCCCCACCCCCCGGCCTTTGCCTCTACTTTAGGAGAAGCCTAGCTGTATCGGAAGCCTGGCCTAGAGCCGAGCAGACAGAGGTGAGGTGGGCAGGGCAGTCTCAGGGGCAGCGGACACTCACTTCATCCTCTCAGCATCAGTCAGGGGGCCCTGCACAAAAAAATAACAGAAGCTTGAGGTTCAGTTCTGGGCCCCTCACTACCCCTCACCGGTTTGCCCCCTACCCATGAGTCCTGGAAAGAGTCTCACCACAGGGTAGACTGCGGGGCCCTCTAGTGATGGAGGCGGCAACCACTGATGCCCAGACAAGGCTAGACTACCCTCTCCCACAGCCCTGAGAAGAGTCAAGAGCCCCTTCCACCCCAACCCCTGCCTCTTCGCCACCTGAGCTCTAGGCCCTCTCCTAACCACGGCCAGTGGCACAAGGGCCCAGCCACACGCTGGCTCTCTCCAGCACTGCGCGGAGGAGGCTTTCAGCTGCTCACTGGGCTTCTCCCCACACGCTGCCCAGGACCTTGCAGGCCATGTGAGAAGACTCTGAGCTCTGACCAAGGCCCTGCAGCCCCCTGAGGCAGACAAGTCACAATTAGACCCCAAAGAAGCCCCCGAGGCTCAGTGCTGAAGGAGAGCAGACTTCTGGGGAGAAGAGCAGCAGGCTACAGGCAATAGCTGGCCGCCTCCTCACTGCCTCCAAGGGGGCTGCAGATTGCACTGGAAGGCTCCTCTTCTTCAGCTGCAGCCAGCGGTCCAGGCTCCTCAGTCTACACCCCTGCCAGGATGCCCTTGCAGGGAGAGTAAGAGTGTATGGGGTCTTTTCTGCTCAGCTATGACACTCGGCTTTGCCAACCAGTGGGCAGACCCTCCCGAAGGACATCTGCACAGCCCTCGCAGCACTGCTGCGGGGAGGTCCCCAGGCAGGAGGGCAAGTCAGCCAGGCACTAGGCGGGAGCGGGACGGGTCTCTGCTGGCCGGGCTGGAATTCCCATCTCGCTGACCTCCAGCTCGAGCCTCGATCCAGGGCCTTCCAGGCGCAGCTCCCGGTGTTCGGGCGGTGCCTTCCGGTAGGGTTTCTTTGCCGGGGCTGCACTGGTCATTCTGGGAGGGGGGTCCTCAGCCTACTGAGGGAAGCAGGGCAGGAAGTGGGCTCAGAGGGAGGGTGGTAGAAGGAAACCCGAGTCAGACCCACAGCCAGGGCCCCTGCTGGCGTGCCAAGAGAAGCAGACAGAGAGGCTCAGGTCAGGTCCAGGAAAGTGAGTGAGCCTTAGGAGTTGGGGCGGGAGTCCACAGAGCAAGCCACTTCTGCGGCCCTCAGAGGGCAAAATGCCGGTCTCCTCAGCCCTGATCTGGGGGCCTGAGCAGCACCCGCTGCAGAGGGCTGCTGTGAAGAGTGAGTGAGCGAGCTAAGGGAGGGAACCTAAGAACAGCAGGGCCTACCTATTACTTGGGAAATGTCCTACGACATTAGCATCAATAGAAGCCAGCGACTTTGAGGGTCCCCTCAACACAGGCTCCTCGGTGGGGAGCTCAAGAGCTCTCGGCTCAAGGCCACTGAGGCCGTGCCCTCCAGCCCCCAACCAAGAGGGGCCACCTGCCTGCCCCCTCCCCCAGCAGAGCTAAGGGGACGCAGGTCTTGACAGGGGCATACCGTCTGCTTGCCGGCAGCTCCCTCTGTTCCGCTGTCCAGGAGTCAGCCCTTGGCCCTCAGCATCCCACGGCCTCTCCACTTCCTCCAGCCCACAGCTCCTGAAACTAGAGAAGGGCAGAAAGTGGAAACCAGGTGTCAGCCGCCCGCCTGTCAGTGCCCAGGCCAGGCCCCGAGGGAGAGAGCCCCCACAGTGGGGGGCAAGGGAGAGGACAGGCAGCACGGGGCCCTGGCTTTCTGCAGACAGGTACCATGCTGGGCCCAGGTGACAGGCACGGACACAGGTGTGCCCAGGTTCGGGGTCTCTGTTTACCACATGCCCGATATAAAATGGGGCCAGTCCCATCCTGTCTAACCCCACCCCGCACCTGCCCTTCCTCTCACAAGTCTCTCGGGCTGAAAGCAACCGAGAGACGTAAGGAACATGGCTGCAAAGGAGAAGCCCAAGGAACAGCGTGGTGGAGGTCCAGGAAGAGGGGCAGAGGGGTGCTGGGAATGTCTCCACCAGGGCCCAGGGCCCCCCTACTGTGGAGGTGGTGGCAGGTACGCCCTGCCCTCGCCTCAACAGGCGCTGTGAACGTCCCCCGTGCCTGTGCTGCTCACATGAAGGAAGCCCAGGTGAGTGGGGGGCGTCAGAGGGCATCAGCAGGGGGGAGAGCAGAGATGGGGGGGCAGGAGATGCCACCGTACAGAAGACTACCCAGCAGCTGGAGAGAACGAGCCTCCCTGTAGCAGGCACCCTGAATTGGACCCCTCGCCTCCCAGGTGTGAGGAAGCACGTTCCTATGGCTAAAGGCACCACTGCTTTGGGGCAGAGACTAGGGATTCTGTCTAGTGCAAAGGGTGGCCCCTCACAACGAAGGGTGAGGGGGAAGACCCTGGGGAGGCCTCATGCCGCCGGGCGACTTGAGACACCTGGGTTACAGCCTTGGCACCACTGACACCCTGTGTGGCCCTGGGCAAGTCCCTTCCCAGGTGGACAGGCTAGGCCCTGGTCTACACTGAGGCACCCCCAGCCCCCATCAGTAATGAGCGGGGCCGCAGCACGGGGGCAGCAGCCACCACAGCGCTCAGGGGTGGCAGTCACCTTAGGTGGCCTGGCATACAGAAAATCATGGGGCTGAGGGAAGCCTTTTTGGCTGCAGCATGTGTCCCCGCTGTCCAGACATGCCCTGGCCGTGACTCCTGTCACATTCCAACAGGGCCTGGGGCAGGGGGTGAGGTGGGAGAGGGGCGTGTGGTAAGGGGGCAGGAGTGGCTGCCTGTGTCTGTCTGGAGGTAGGCGCCCGGTGCCTGTCTTGGGGTTCTGGGGGAGTTGGGCGGGGCAGTACAGGCACGAGCCGCCAACCTCCGCCCCTTTGATGGTGAGACAGACGTGTCCCCACAGGGCACAAGCAGCATGCCGTGTTGGCTGACTCCCTGTGCAGGAATCTGGGCGGGCCTGGAGGACAGCACATTCCTGGGGCACTGGGGAGCAAACAAGTCCGCCCCCCTCCCTCCCGCTCCTGGTGCCCCAGGGCAGGGGCTCCTCCAATAGCTGTAGGCTGGGTGCCCGGTTCTCTCTCTCTCTCTCTCTCTCTCTCTCTCTCACACACACACACACACACACACACACACACACAAACACACACACACACGGACATGTCCGAGCTGGAACAGGGTGGGGGGTGGGGGCACGGACAGAATAAGGGGAGGCCCCACCAGCTGGCCTCTGCCTTTTCCCCTCCACAAGCAGCACCTTCCCCAGGAGCTCCAGGCCCCTCCCCCCGCCCGGATGTCCCTGTCCCTCTCAATGCCCACACTGTCCTTGAGGTCCAGAACTCCCTACCGGGCGGTGGGCACAGAAGGAGGGCCCAGGGCATACTCGGGCCTCTGGCAGTTCTGTCAGGAGCACGGTCGTACTCCGCGTCACACAGCCCTGGCTCTAGCTGCCACCTGTCCTACAGCCCCGAGCCCTGCAGCCCGACCGTCCCGGTCAGAGCGCCGGGTGCCGGCAGCAGGGACACCAGGAAGCATGCTGGGAGTGGGGCATCCTCTTCAACCAGAGCCTGCTCAGCTAAATCAGAGGCAGGCAAGGCCCGCTACAGAACCTGCAGGGTCCTCAGCACAAGGCCAGCATGGGGCGCATGCTGTGTCCACAAAGAAGTTCGGAGTTGAGATTCTCGTGCCCCACCCCCGGGCCCCATGAGCCCAGCCCTGACTGAGCAGGAGCCCAGTGGGTTGGGCAGCTGCTGCCCGGGGCTGCAGCATGGCAGCCAAGGAAGCCAAGGAGCTGAAAGCTGGGGGGCAGCCTTTCCACGAGGACCCCACCATCGGGGCCCACCTCTCCGGCCTGGCTCCCTCCATCCAGAGCAGTGGGAGCTCGTGATGGCAGTCTCCAGGAAGAGGCTCTTCCAGAGGGAGCGCTGGACACTGACCTGGGAGGCTGGACTCACACGGCTCTCCTGACACCCTGGGCCACCTCGTGGGGTGTGGGCTATAAGCACAGGGTGCCCTGGAGAAAGGCTGGAGGAGCCCCTGCACCAAGGCCAGCAGTTTGAACCCCCTCCCCAGGGCTCCCTGGGCCGTCCTGCAGACTGTGTAGGACGAAGGGGAACCCTGCTCACCCACCCCTTCCTTTCCTCACCACCGGCTCAGAGACACTGCCCTGGATCTGCTGGGGCGGAGGGGGAGGGGGCTTCCTAATTGCCGTGTTGCAATCTGCTAGTCAGTACAGGCCGCCTGTTGCCGCCTGCCCCGTATGAAATACCTTCTCCCTGGTTACAGCCCCATGGGGCACGATTAGCTGTCTCCCCAAAACAAAGTCGACTTTCATTAGATATGGGAGTACGCACACTCGGTGAATCTGTACCTCGGACCCACTGGACAGCTGGGCCGAGGGCTGACACACACAGACGGACAGCGAAATCCACCCCCGATACTGGCCGAGCAGCATCCTGCAACCCCAGGATAGCCTGCCATGTATCGCCCTTGAACCAGAGATAGGGCTCGGCCTTGCTCTCAGGGTGGGGGTGGGGGGAGAAGCCCGGAGCTTCCACTGTGCTCAGAGACTGCTGCTGTGAGAGAAAGCTCTACTGAGGGATTCTTCCCATTGCCCTCCCTGCAGCCCCCACTGGAGGCAAGAGGTTCAAGGCCAAGGACCAAGGACTCCCTCATGCCCCAGCCCACCACCCCTCCCTTCTGTGGCGCTGACCTGCCCAACGCCCAGGGCAAAGTCAGCGGTGCCTGCCGGGGAGGGAGGGCCCCAGGGCTGCCACAGCGGGTTCACGAGAAGCCGCAGGAGGGTGTAAGGTGCACAGGTCACCACCTGCTTGTTCCCGGGCCCACATTCTCCAGCGGCTGGGCCCCCGCCGCCTCGACACTGGTGTAGGAAAGAGAAGCAGGATCCAATCCAGAACAGACGTGGTTCCCTGGCTTTCCAAGTCCAGCCAGGCCCACTGGGCACCAACGCCTGCTTTCCACATTCTGCACTGCCACCTCATGCTACCACTCGATGGACCCCGTCCTGCTGCCCAGCCTCCTCCACGTCCCACATCACCAACCACTGCTCTAGGCTCGGCCACTTCTGAGCTAACTAACCTGCCTTTCAGCTCGCAGGGTCAGTGAACCACATAAGCAGGAGCCTTGCGGGAACCAATGAACAATGAACCTTCCCCAGTCGGAAAGGCCCACCCTTGACCACAGACATGATTCCAACTCTTCCCAAGGCATCTAGCCGGAGTCAGTCATGGCTGCTTCTTTGCAGACGCTGCCTCGTCCCTCAGAGCCCAGCAGGACAGAGTCAGAATAAAAGTACAGAAGCCCTTCTGAAGGCTCCAAAATGTGGTTGTCCGATCATCCAGGGAGGAGGCCTCCCCACAGGGAACTGTCCTTGAATGTGGGGGTCTCTGGTTTTGCCCGCCTGGGGCACAGGCGACCCTCCCACCACACTACAACATCCTGGAGCTCCCAGAGCCTCCAAAATCCAGGCTCTGCCTTCAAGCAAGGGCCAGAACACAAAACTGGCTCTGCTGAGAGCCTGGCCTGCCCTGTGATGGCCCACCCAACGGAGGTCCTGGGGATTGTCTGGGAGAACCACCCCCATCATTACAATGGCCCCCACATCCACCTTGACTGCCAGAGAATAGAGTAGCCCCTGCACCCTGAACCCAAATTACCAAAGTCTTGCCTCCAGTGTCCCGAGGGGGCCCCCTCTTACTTGCCACTAGCCCCCAGTTTCCGGCCAGCAGCTGTTCCTTAGACACATGAGCCAAGCCTTCAGCAATCTCAGGCGCGTGGCAGGCAGGCAGCCTGCGGATCAAGGGGCGGAGCCTGGGCCCACAAGGCTGGAAGGTGCCAGCTGTGCCTGGACCAGCTCTGCTGCCCTGCACGCCAAGTGAGTGAGCGAGTGAGTGGCACAGCCGGGCAGGAGACACAGTGCCCAAGTGATCCTGAGCGTTGATAATGCCTGATGGCGCCCTTAAATCCGCACAGGGCAAAGCCCTCAAGTTTGCCCACTGGCCAATGGTTCAAAAAAACATGTGACAAGGACAAAGCCCTCCAGTAAGGCAGGCACCAAAAACCCCCAACAGAGCACTGGACCTTAGACTCGGGCTGGCTCAAAGGACAGAAGGAAGGGCTGATCCCCAAGAACCGGGCTCACCCCCAACTCTTCCACGTTCCTGATCAGAGACAAGCCACACAAACCAGCCCGCTGACCCCTACTCAAAGTCCCCAGGACCCCCTGCAGCACCCCCATGCTAACAGCCCACGGAGGCCAGAATCGCTCAGGGCTTTCAGCGTGGCCTCCAGAGACAGGCTTCCCTGTGCTCTCTAGATCCCTGCTCCTTCCCAAGTCAGAGAGAGAAGGGGTTCACAGCAGGGGCACCCCTGTGCAGGCGACACTCACCGGTCTCCTACTCTGAGGTCAGGGCCTCTGGGCCCATCAATGGGGTAGTTCAAAGCCAGAGCCTGCCCCCTCTCTGGCTGAGGTGTCCCTCCCAGCTCTTCTTGGCTAAAGTCCACCCGAACCTCCAGACATGGAAGGGGGTGGAGGACCAAACCCCGCCCACTCCACCTCCCTGAGCAAGGGTCACCAATAGGAGGGGCCTCTCGGTGGGTACCTGGTTCTGGGCTGTGGCTCTCATCCTATGGGGGCTTCCCTCTCTCTCCGTGAAACTCCCCACAGTCAAGTCACAGTTTCCAGCACCCTCTCCCATGCCGACCGAGAACTTTGCACAATTGCCGTCCTGGGTGTGATCAGTGCAGACCCTCCCCAGCCTTCCCCGCCCCACGCCTGTCTCAGCTGTCCCAGCGGCACGAGTGGCAGTGGCAGCCCAGTGTTGGGGCACTCTCACAGCCCTCGGTGCTAACGGGCACAGACAGTGAACAGAGACCTCTGCCAATGCTGGGCACACTGCAGGGAGAGGGCGAGAGAGGGACTCCAGCAGCAGGCTGCCAGGTGGGCAGGAAGGAGGACATGCGGAGAGTGGGCGAGGGGCACTTCCTCACCCTGGAAGAACCCAGTGGGCAGGAGGGACACGAGGGCAGAGGAACCAGCAGGATGCCAGCTAAAGAGAATGTGACCAAGCGTGGGGGAGTGGGGAGAGGAGGGGTGCAGGCAGAAGCACGGTGGGAGGCACCCTCAGCACAGGTTAGCTGGCCGGGGTCAGACTCACAGGGTTAGTGTCTTCTCCCCAGCCAGCCAGCTCTCCCGGGGAGCACGGTTATCCACACTCATGGCAGCCACCCTCCGGGCACTCCATAGAAACAGACAGCCACGTCTGGGAGCTGCAGAGAGAGAGCAGAAGGGACGCCAGGCTGTGGGGAGCCCCCGAGTCCCCATGGTTGGCCCTCATGGGAACAGCTGACTTCTCACCAGGCCTTCGGGGGGCTTCTCCTCAACGGGAAACAGTACTGTACTCACCCTGCCATCCAGAGGGCCCGGCCACTGACCTCAGGTCCTCAGGCTCTGGTTAGCCAACCAAAAGGACAGAAGGGGGCTACTGCTGGGGAGGAGGGCGGGGGGCAGCTCCCTGCCCACTGCTGCCAGGCTGAACCACGGCCCCGGGAAGGCCAGTCAGGAACACAGAGAGCCAGGCTGTGAGAACAAAGCCACCCACAGCTGCAGCTGCCACCCATCCCCGGCCGGTGCCAGCACAGTCCACCCCACCACCGCCCATGGGCGCCGAGAGCGGGGAGGGAGGGGACCAGCCCAGGGATCCGAGGCTGCCAACAAGAGCTGCAGCGGAGCCCACAGGACAATGGGGGCAGTGTGGGACCCAGATCGGAGCCAGGCCAGTCTGGCAAAGGCAAGGGGTGACACACGGCCACCTCACAGGGTCTGAGAGAGCCAGAGGCACCCCCGGGAGCCACAGAGCTGCCCGGACTCCAAGAGGAATGGTTGCACACACTCAGCACGAGCAGTGCCCAGGAAGGCCGACCCGGCCCTCACAGGAAGTCCAGGGGATGGCCGACACACTCTTTCCCAAAGCCTCTGGAGCCACCCTGGCCACAGCACACCCTGGCTTAGGGGCTCCCGGCGAATGAGAGCCCCCAGGATGCGGGCCAGGTGTCCACACGCCAAGGAAGCTACAGAAGCACAGCCTCTGGGATCACAGGACGGCGGGACGGTGGCCTCCCATGGGCCTGGCCCTTCTCCCAGGTGCAGGTCACGAAGAAGGCAATCAGGACTTCCCGACAGTTACTCCCTGGCTCTCCTCCAGGCTCCCACAGCAGCCCTGAGTCTCAACAGGCCGAGGCCTGGCCATGGAGAGAGGAGGCCGTCATCCAGAAGACAAAGAAGGCCACTCTTCTCCTGGGGCCAGACCTCTTCCCTACACTGAAAAGGCCGTGCAGCCCTTGGCAGGTGCCTTCAGAGCCCCATCCCCAGACCCTGTGGACACAGAGCCGGTGCTGGCTGGCTTTCAAAGGTGGAACGGCAAGTGATCTGGTCCAGAAACCAGGCACGCGTTCTGCACTGAAACGGGAGCTGCCAGACCAGACACGTTTTCTGTGAACGAGGGGTGGAGGGCAGACTCTCAGGTGAAAGGCCACCCTGGTGCTCACCCTGTTTGTCTCGTCCCGATTCCCACAAGGGCACTCCATGTTGGCCAGTCTCATCTCAGAACACAAAACCACCCCCACAGAGGGAAGCAGGGTGCCTGCTGTTGCAAGAGCTTCTAGTCCAGTCTGCAGCCCTCCCAGGGAGCCAGCCAGGGCGAAAGCCCCCAAGCCTGGGAGGAAGGCTCTGGGCAGACCCCTCTCAGACTGCAGCGAGCACGCGTCTACCGCTGGGCAGCTTACCAAGGGAACAGAGAGAGCAGTGCGCTGAAGGGCAGCAGGTCTTAGGATTGAGCTGTGGGTTTTTAAGACAGTGCATGCTGAGGCATAACCAGGAACAACCCTGACTAGAAGATACACAAAACAGTTAGCAGGAGGAGCTCCCAGTCTTGGGGCTGAGCTGGGTGAGGGCAGAAACAACTGCAGGGCTGGTGTTTTACAAAAAGGAAGCTTGGGGGGAGCGGGGAGGGAGGGGAAAAAATGAGCAGCTGATACCAGGGGCTTGTGAAAAGCAGATGTTTTGAGAATGATGAGGGCAATGAATGTACAAGTGTGCTTTACACAACTGATGTTATGTATGGATTGTGATAAGAATTGTATGAGCCCCTAATAAAATAAAATTTTTTAACAAGCCTCCACCTGCATCCTGGGCTTTGCCGCCCCCGTGCCCTTTCCCATGGTCCTCACAATCTGGTGGGCAGTACTACCATGCTGTCGAGAAGACAAGTCTTGCCCAGACTACGGGCAAACGTAGGGCAGCATCCCAGTCTCCTGTCTCCAATTCCAACGCCAATCAAGAAGAGTAATCTTCCCCCAGGGAGCCACGGGAAGCCTGCCTGAGATAAAGACCTTTAACTGGAGGCCTCCAATACGGGAATTCCCTACACAGCTTAGCTGGGAAGGGGCAGAGAGGCCACTCGTCGCTCAGTACCCCAAACCGCAACGCCCAGGGTTCTAGCCCACAGGCCTAGAGGAAGTCTGGCATTTCCAGCCTTGGTGGACTTCCCTGGAGGCAGTCCCTCCCTTTAGGGGGTGGGGACAGTCCCCAGGCACCTAGCACTCTGAGCTGAAACGAGTTGAAGGGTTCTAAATGCTACTGCAGCAGACAGCACCTACACCCAAACACTCACAGCCATCGAGTGGATTCCAACAGCCAGAGATCTGATGAGGCAAAGCAGAACTGCTCCTTCTGGTTTCCGGGGTTCCAAATCTTTCCCCTCCTACTCCGGCACCCCTGGAGCCTTCCGAACCACCACCATCTGGCTCCGCTGACCCGCAACCCCTCTCAAGTCTGTGTCACATAGCAAGCAGTTTGTCACGCTGGCCGGCCAAGAGGTGCCTAGGGAAGAAAAGGCAGGGTCCCCAGCCAAGGGAGACTGCTTCACCTCACTGAATAGCTACTGGGCTCCCCCCTTGGGATTCGCCTGAGCACTAGCCACGCTGTAGTAAACCCTGGCTGTGAGCACAGAACCCCCTAGATGAGGGGAGGGAACCCACAAAATAATACAGCCAGAAAAGCAAGCAGTCACCCCAAACGTAGAAGAGTGCTTAATCAGTAGCGGAGAGGGTGCCGGCAGCCAAAGACTTTTTAGGAGAGGCTAACCGAGCAGGAGACATTTCCCACAGGGTGCTTTGCCTCCTCTTAGGGAGGAGCCGGGGGTGGGGTGGGGTGGGGGTATCATGTGTTGGGCTGCAAGCAGTTCAGAACCTCAACTGTTCTGCGGGAGAAAAGACCGGGCATTCTACACCCATAGAGAGTTACCGTCCTGGACACCCATGAGGGCAGCTCTACTGTCCGACAGGGTCGCTCTGAGTCAGAACTGACTGAGGGCAGTGACTGAGAGCTAGCTTAGGGAGCCCTGGTGGGGGGG